CAGGTTTACGCCGTGTCAGCCACCTGCGCTGTATTCCGTGACGGGATCGAGACAGCCTTGTTACGAGAAAACCCTGGCGAGTCAACGTTACTAGCCCAGAAAGGAAAAGTCTATTGCGTAGTGTTAAGGCGAAGAAAGTTAGCCCGAACAGCTGCGAGCTTCCAGGTCCGGTTCCCTAGGAGAAGAGAAAAATAATGATAAGACCAGAGTGTTAGGAGGAGAATTTTTTGTGCAGAATAAATGGGAGGATAGGCAGTAGGAAATTGACTACCAGACGGCTGCACAACCGCAAGCCAGCTGACGGCGTCTGAAGTCAGGTCTGCTCGGCAGTCGTCACACGTGGTCCTGTGTGAGTCGGCCTGTGACTGGTTATTACAGAGGCCGGAAGCAGCAACCACCCCCAAAATGCACGTTGAGGTACTCACGACAGGCGTTCACAAGTGCACTTTGTGTGGAGCTAGTCACCGCAAGTAGGCTGAGTTACGGCTTCACTGTACAAAAAAAAACTAAAGAAGAACCTCATACGAGGGAAATCTAGGGAGGGATTATCCGTAGAGTTGGCCGGCTCGGAACTGGATCAGAAACTACAGGGACGCAAGGAGGTCTGTTCCAGGCCTTAAGGATGGCAGAAGTCGCTGCACCGGTTTCCTGTGCCACACAAGCCTACCACCAATTGCCAATAAAAGCGAACATGCGAGTCCCAGGAAGCAATTGAGAAGAAGACGACTCGATCGCTGGGACAATATGTTTATGCGCCAAACTACCTGTATCTGCTGCTGTTCTGTGATTATGTCTCTGATGATGAATCTGCGATGGATGTCGAAACGTCAGGTGAATAAACATATTGTCCTAGCGATCGAGTCATCTTCTTCTCCACCACCAATCGAGTTCACACGAAAGTCGCCGTCCCTGCGCTCACCCTACTGTAGAATACACGCTTGCTGATGTCGTCGTTATCGTTGGTCAAATCTTGGTCGGTTAACCTCAATGCGGTGGAACGCTGCAAGCAGCCGATGATGAGCGCAGTGGCTGCGGTCTGCTAAGGTCACAATACTTTCAGATTCCTTTACATCGTTTAGGCATTCGCGCAAGACAGTCAACAAACCCATATAACGTATTACTTTTCTCTCTAACAACGCCCAGTGCGACCTCAAGTTTGTCAGAAATAGGGTGTTGATATCACGATGAGCCGCTCGCAACACTGTTTGTTTCTAACTATGTACTTAATAAAC